TCCATGTAATAAGAATATATAAACAATATATCAACAATATCAAGCAGAGAGATTCAATAAGTCTGGAGTAGGTCCTACACATTTATATATTAATAAGGTTTCACAGGTAAATAATGTAAATCCTCAATTGAAAGCCAGTTGCCTAGATGTTAGATTCAAAGTGTACCAAGTTAACATTTAGAAAGATAACTGGAATTATGACTCATTGTATTCTACTGATGTTGTCTAATATCAGGCAAAACAACACCAGGACTCTGACAAATAGAAATATGTTATGAACAGTGGGTACTGATAAATCTCTAGGAATTTCCCATTCCTTGAAGGCTGTCAGCTAGCGGTCATTCTCAGTTTCTAGTGAATGTCCACATTCCATGGCTGGTGGCTGCCTTCATCTTCAAAGTTAGCAATGACCTGTCGACGCCTTCTCATACTTAAAATCTGTAAGTATATTATTTAATATGCAATGAAATAATGGATGCCCTTTATTAATTAAAAACATTTTTTTTCAGGCGCTGGCTTTGAGCCAGTCACAGTACTTGACACGAAGGATGCAGCACTGACCAAAGCAGAGGAAGGCCTTGCCTTCTTGGATTTATTGAGCACTCACTATGTCCCTGGCACTGTGCTTGAGACATTACTTATGTCATTATTTAATCAATATCGTGTATGTCATTTTCAAAGTAACCCCATACTTTTAAACAAGAGAAAGAGTAAAAATATGCTGGGAGTCTGAGGGACAGTGCAAGGGTCGAGGAGATAAACAGGAGGAGGCTCGTGCTGGACACACAGAGACCCAGGCGCCAGACTTCAAGTAAAGGACAGACAGGGAGAGTGAGGTACTTAGACTGAGAGCGGCCCCAGGGGCTCTTGCCCTCCTATCCCCCACTGCGCACCCCGTTTTCATTTTGGATTCAAATCTTAAATCCAACGCTTTTATGATAAACGTTCGAAAAAAATTTAGACGAGCTGTAAATGGCTTCTTAACTGGCAGCACCGAGGTAACGGTCAAATATAAGCCAAAGGCTCACCATTGCTCCATTTTACCGCAGAGCATTCGCGGTTGCTGGTCTGAGGCTAAGCCACAAGCCTGAGATATTCCTACATTGAGAAGAAGAAAACCGAAATACCACGAGGCATATACTTCAAGAGGAATCGAATCAGCGACCTTGACATTATAAAAACAATAAATACTCTAACCAAGTGAGCAACTTGCCGTGAACAGGAATGATGTTTTTACACTTCAGAAGTATAAACTGTATCAAAGCATTATTGCCTGAAGTTTTTTCCAGAATGATGCAAGACATTTTCTCCTTCTCCCAGTTTCCTCTTCCCCTAAATACATCCACCTTACCTCATTCAATTTTCTTTAAAAGCTCTCCATCCTGACTCTGGTACTTTATTTCTTTAAAAAAGAAGACACACACAATCAAATCGTTCAGTGGTAGTGATATTAGGACTGTCTGTAATTGGATGTATGGGTGCAATTTCCATCGGTCATGGGGTCTATAGGTAGAACGGGGACGACAAAATGAACGTAAAAGGCACTGGCCCGTACGGGGATCGAACCCGCGACCTTGGCGTTATTAGCACCACGCTCTAACCAACTGAGCTAACCGGCCGCTTCGTAAAACACGCCTTTGCTTACACATTTTAAAGTCATACCTAATTAAAGTCGGCGGTCTTTGTAAAATGTTTTAAAAAATGTTCTTTTTTCTATCAAAAAGGAAAAGACAAATCCCAGTTGCCTGCACGGATGAACCGTGCTTCTCCCCAGGAAAACTCAGTCTTTCTCAAACCGACCGAGGAAGACTCAGATCAATGTCCGGGAGCAACTACCTCCTTGAAACTATTCCCAGAAGGCCTTGGGAAACGCGAAGCCCCTGCAAGCCTGAGATGGTGGCGGGCGGATCACGGAGCACAGAGCGGGGCTTGGTGGACTCGGCTTCCGCGCACGGGGTGCGGATTCTCTACTCTTGGAGGTCATACCGGGCGGGTCATCTCTTCCCAGAGGCCTTTAGCCGCTTGGCTTCAGGGTGGTTCCGCAGTCGCCTTTAAGCTAAATCTGTAGCCGTTCGTCCGGAGCGGAGTAAGACAGGGACCTTACGATGCAATGTCAGCCATAGGCCACTTGGTGGCGCCCGAGTGCAGAGCTGAGGTCTGAGTCAAAAGGACTGTGAAGACCGCCCCGCTCCTGAACCTCTGACCCCTCCCCATGTCCCCCAAATCACCAAATCTATGACAAGGGAAGTCGAGACCACAGGGCCTTGTTCCGGACCAGGGAGAAACACCGGAATCTGAGAGTAGGGGAACTGAAGCCAAGGTCAGGCAACTCAGAGGAAGGAGTTGGGAAACCTTTGCCCTTTTGAGCCTGGCCTGATCTACGTGCAAGCGGGTGTCAACGATATTAGGGACCAGTAGAGCAGCAAATTTCTGCTTACTTTCTTTTCTCTGTTGGACCCTATAACCCTCTCTCTCTCTTTTTTTTCTATTTTTTCTGCATCTGAAGTTAATTGACTCGTTATATATATATATATATATATATATATATATAGTATATCGAGTAAGATTTGAAAGACTATTCTAAAGAGAGCTATTTCTTTTAATGAGGCAAGTTAACTATTAATTTACTTGTTTTACATTATGCAATTTATAAGTTTTGTTTATAATTGTTTAAAAAGCTGTAAGATGGCATTTCTTATCTTTAGTACATTTCTTTAACTTTGTATCAGCATCCACCATATGAACTAGTAGCTGTCTTCATTTTCTTTGTCCTCTAGTAAAAATTCGGTGGAAAGTGAGTGGAAAAACCAATTTTTAAAATTTAATTGTATGTATTTATTTATTTTTATTAAAAATTTTTTTTACTACAGTACTTTATGTGTAGTCTTTTCCCCTCCCTTTGTATTTTACTGCCACCCTCCCGGATTTCCAAACCTGGAGAAACCTCTCTCTGCTTAACAGCCAGAATGTCAGCTGTTTGGATAACTGGGCATTCTCTTTTCTCTCCTGTCCTCCCCCAGGTTTCTTTGGCTGTGAGGTCTCTCTCCATTCAGCAAGCCTTGGAGAGATTTCTCTCAGCTCTCCAGTCCTGGCTGTTGGCAGCTAAAACACAAAGTGCTGTTTGCTCTTCGTTTCCTGCCGTGATCCCCAACTTCAGAATGTTTTGAACTTGAGAGTGCCTCAGTGGGTATTTCCACTTTCTAGCCTTTTCCCTCACCCCCTTTTGACCTACTTTCCTCATCAGAGACAACCAGAACTGGTTTTGGCTACTTGAAATTCTGTTTGGGTCAAGCAAGCCCACAAGCAAACCTTAAAAATGTCTAAGTTTCTTCTGGTTTCTCCTAATCTGGTCTTCACAGGTTTTTCCTCCTCTGTGCCGCTGCCCATCTGCCAGGAATAAGGACAGCCAGAGGCTTCTTTTCTCCTATGAAGGCCTCTTTCTAGAATTTAGTTTATGTTGATTCTTTAGTATCCTCAGCTCCTGATGGGTCCAGACAATCTACTCCCCTTAAGCTTATGGCTTTGCTTTAGTTAGTAGGTTGAGAGGGACACACACTTGCAACTTCCTACAACTTAACCAAAATGGAACTCAGTGCTTTGTATTTTTAAAATATTTCCAAATTTCTGTGCCAAAAGTACTTTTGTCATTCCTTGAAACTATTTCCTTTAAAATATATAGCAACAGACTAATCTCTCTCAATAAGGAAATTAACCATGTTGCCAGTTGCTTTTCATATTGTTTCAGGTAATCCTTATATCACGTCATTTATTCAATTGATATTTTAAAATAGCCAGTTTTGTTCTTATATCGAAGTTAGAAGAAATGAGATATAATATCCATATGACACCATGAAAACTTCAAGAAGTGAAACGAGTGACCACCTGCAGGTATGTTGCCAGATTTTACTTAGACTTCCAGGTGATACTGCTGGGCAAAAGAATGTCACATAGAATTTGGATACATTTCAGAAAGTTACCTCGAATATTGTCCCCTGATTTGACAAATGTTTATTGAGAACTACCAATATAATGGTCCCAAAGCCACACATGATACCTTCCTCACCTTCCAAGAGCTTAAAATCCGATACCACCATGACTTCTGATTAGTTGTCTAACAGTGGAGATGGTCTTCTCCACAGAAGCGGTATCTTCATTTTACTTTAAGAAAGATCATCTTCAGTCTTTTGCATCTGATACAGGTGTACTTTCTAAACAAATGATCAGGACAGATTAGCAACATTATCCAGTGAAAGCACTTACACTATGCACCATGGAAAACTTCCATATATGGGCACGTATCTTCCATATGTCAGCACATCTGCTTAAACAGAATATCCTGTTTGGAATCCTATCTCTTGCTTTTTGTAATTTTGGAGAATAATATCACCAGCAATGTTGAAGACAGCTTGATAAAGCAGAGATTTTTAGAAGTTAAATGATGGAGAAAATTGTGAACCTGTTGTCAGCTAGGAAATGAGGATCCTGAGGTCAGGAGATGACAGTGGGGTGTTTTGTATAGAAATGCTGAGGTGGAAGGATTCGTTCATATAAAAGACTGCATGAAAAATCACTCCCAGTGGGACCTCAAAAGAGTACCTTAAATTCTGTCTTGGAAACTGTAGGCTGCAGAATTCTCATTCCGTAACACCAGTATATTATGGAGAGCAGTGGAGTCTGAATGCAAGCATCAGAGCTTTAAAAAACAAACAAACAAAAAAAGTAAAACAAAACAAACAAACAAACAACAAACATATCCTTAATTCACCAAAAAAAAAAAAAAAATTCTCCAGGATGCTGCCTTAGCTTTCCAAGCCTGGAATTTATTCAAGAATTGGGATTATGAAAGGTTTTTGTTTTTGTTTTCATAAATGGAGGAAAGGGGAGAGAAATGCGCTGCAACAATGAACATTTCCTCAAAAGGCATGAAGTGAACAAACCTGGGCTCTACAGGCAAAGTCTATTCAGTTATGTATAAAGGCTGGAAAAAAGCACCAGCAGGTGTTTCCGTAGTGTAGCGGTTATCATATTCGCTTCACACGCGAAACGTCCCCGGTTCAAAACCGCGCGAAGACAAATTTTTTTTTTCCAGATACGTTATGTACTTCTACTTGATTTCAACTTGCTTATATTAAAAAATAACAAACCCCACAAATCTTCGCACTTACTCTTTGTTTGAAGGAAGAAATTATCCTGAGAGTCCCGCGCCGATGCATGGTTTCGCTGTTCAAACGGGGCAATTTTCACCTTTCTCCCTTCTCTCCTCTGCTGGGTTCCGACGAGGCCTGTGAGGGTCCCTGGGAAAATATCAGAGGAGATGAGCCGGCGCCGCCGAAATGGTTGCTGTCTTCGGAATTTGGATTTCTACGGAAAGAGGCTTCAGCAGGGACTGACCCTGAGGGGAATATCAGAGGAGATGAGCCGGCGCCGCCGAAATGGTTGCTGTCTTCGGAATTTGGATTTCTACGGAAAGAGGCTTCAGCAGGAACTGACCCTGAGGGGAGCTTGATCTTGGACCTGATCTGTAGTAGAAAAGTCTCCCAGACTCAAGCCAGTTTTGAATGCGGAGAATTCTGTTTCCCCTTGAGAAAGTCCACCGGCACATTGCCAAAAACTTATACTGTTATTCTTCCTCCTAGCCTTTCCTAAAGGGACCTGCGCTCATGTACCAAAGTGATTGTGCATTAGGGAAAAGGAAAAGATCAGACTTTTCAGGAATTACTAGACAATGGCTCGGAACCGGCATTACTTGCTAGAGATAAAAAACATCATCGCTGTCCACCAGGCAGTAGGTACTCATGAAGGTCAGGCAACCAATGAAGTTTTGCCTCCTGTCCATATCACTGTGGGCACAGTGGATCCCTGAGCCCACCCTGTGGTTACTTTCCCAATTCCAGACAGAATCTCTATATCATTTCCATGACTAATGGAGTGAAGGCTATTATGGCATAAAAGGCTAATTAGAGGCCACCAGAAATTCCTCTGTGAAAATAATTAAACAAAACGCAATACTGATATTCCTGGACCGATTGCAGAGATTAGTACCAACATCAAAGACTTGAAAGATACAGGGACAGAGATTCACCACATTTCTATTCAACTCACTTACTCAACTGTAGAAGGTAAATGGGTTGTGGAAAATGACAGTTATTGTAGATCTAGTCAAGTGATTATTTCCATTGCATCTGCTATTCCAGATGTTCTTTTATTAATGGAGAAAATTAACACATGCCCTGGCACCTGGTATGCAGCTCCTGATATGGTTAGTGCTATTTTCTCTATACCCAGTCAGAAAGACCATCAGAAGCAGTGAGCCTTCAGCTGGCTGAGCCAACAGTACACCTTGCCTACCCTACCTCAGGGGTATATCAGCTTCTCAATCATATGTTATAAATTAGTCTACAGAGACCTTCACCACCTTACCATATGTTCTAAAGTTGAAAGATGATTTTTGTTGTTTTAAATATGAACACTGTAGGCAAATGTATATTGTGCAAACTGATCACAAGTGAATGGGCCTACCTTTCCAGAATTGCCTCAGTCCTGTGTGCCTCATTTGCATCTCTATCCCAGTTTTAGTCCATATGGGCTGCTGTAACAAAAATACCATAGACCAGGTGGCTTAAAGGACAAACATTTATTTCCCACAGTTCCGGAGACTAGTGTCGATTCTCTGTCTGGTGAAAGTTTGCTTCCTGGCTCCCTGTCTCATAGACAACAGTCTTCTCACTGTCCTCAGATGAAGGAAAGGGTGAAAGAGCTCTCTTACATCTCTTTTATGAGGACCTAATCCCACTCATGAGGACTCCATCCTCATGACCTAAAGCCCCCGCCTCCAAATACCATCTCATTGGGGACTGAGATGGTTTCAATGTAATTTGGGGGAGAGAGGCACGTTCAGTCTATAACAATCACCAAAACATCCATTTCCTTTTCTGACTTCAACTATGTTTAGTCAAGTATAAGTTGATATTGACTTTTTGTGCAGGGAGGCCAGTGGCCAATGGGTGATGTTGAAACCAATTATTAAAACATTTTGAAAGGAAATTATCCTGAACCGATCCTTCACATCCAGAAGTGCTGCCCCACCATACAGTCCTGACTGTCAGTTGAGTCTGAAAGAGTCTTCGTAGCCATCAAAGGAGGCATTTTCTAAGATATCTTTTTACCTCCCATTTCTTCCTGAAATTGAGAAAGGAAGTTGACTGAGTAAGACGCTTGGACAAATTTTAAAATCAAAGATGCTTTAAAGAACATACCAGTCCGCAGGCGTCAATGCAGGAGGAAAGAGAAAGAACATCTCCTGGGGGAATGTTGATGTGTAGAAGAATGTGGTACCACGCAGAACTGAAAAGAATCCCTGACAAAAGTTAAACTCCCAGGGTGGACACAGGGAGGACGGGATGAACAGTGACTGCTTTTGGACGATGTTATTTTAAACAACCTCCTTTTTCTGTCCCCACCTCCACTTGGGGGTGAATTCCTTAGTAGTGTAGAAGTGCTAGGAAGAAAATCAAGATCTAGCTGAGAAAAAACACAAACATTTCAAAAGAGCTTTTTCATTTGTAAGTGGATTTCACAGTCTTCACCCCAAGATTATTTAATTCTCCAAAGTGTTCTGTTGGAAGAGCTATAAAACCTCCAGAACTGTGCACTGGTTACATGACAAAACTGGGGACAGGAAACTGGAGATTTATACAGAGTCACTTCACTCACTTATGAAGTGAGCGAAGGATTTCCCATGAAAACAACTCCTGGGCACTGTTCGCTGTAAAGAGAACTACACGCTGGCCAAGACAGAAAATAAAAAGAGAGCTATGCTCTTTTCTCTGCAAAAACAAATCAACAAAACAAGACGCACACAAAAACAACTTTTAAAGTTGTATTTCTAGACCCAAAGGAAGAAGTTTAAGCTATTTAAATTCTGCTAATTCTTCCACTTCCTTCAGAACATCCTAGAGCAAATCAAGGGCTTTGAAGTCAGGGTGTGAAGATGGTGGGTCTGACCTACTGAGCTGGTCCTGGTTGCTCACAAATGGAAGATCCAATTCAGTGTCTGAAGAACATTCCAGAATCGTTTGATCTTGGATCAGGTGATTCTCCTAGAGACTCCCAGGTCTCCCGTGCCCTGTGTGTCCAGGGCTAGGCTTGGACAGCATTCCAGAACCTTCTTGCCTTTTTGCCTCAGGCTTCCTGAGTGGCTTCAAATCTTATTTGTGTGATTAGCTCCTTCTGAGGCTCGAAGTGAGGCCTCCTTCAGAGGGCTGGCTATTGCTGAGTTCCAGAAAGGAAGGGCTATTCACCATTCCAGAGGAGAACTCTGGTAAGAAAACTTTTCTCCTCCGCTTCCTCATTTATAGTGTTTTCTTAAGCTTTTATTTGATTTTTTAAATAGGTAACATCTAAAGTCTAATGTTACATGCAGTAAATTTCTTCCTCCTGCTTCCAAAGAATTCCACCTCCTTAGTCTCCAGCCCCTCAACTGGGAACTTTGTTGTGAGTTTACTGATTATCCTTGAGAGTTTTTTTTTTTTTTGGCTTTGTTTTGTTTTTGTAAAATGCATATACAATCTAACACAAATATATCTCCAATAGTATCATTCTATAGTGATTGCTCTGAACCTTGCTTCTATTTTATAGCATATGTATGTACATAGTGATCTTTATCATTTTGTTTTAAATATGCATAGCATTTCACTGTGTAGTTATGCCATAATTTATCTAATTAATAGTTCTGACTAGGTTTTTCTCAATCTTACTATTACAGTTAATGCTGCAGAGAATAAGTTAGAACACAATATAATTTCTCGTGTGTTCAAGTCTATGTTTTACATTTGTGGAAATACTGTATCAAAGAGTATATGCGTTTGAAATATTGGTAGATCCTGCCACATTGTCCTCCTAGCAGCAAGGCATAGTGTATTTGTGGAGAACACAAATGAGCAGAATCGTAGACACACTTAATACAACTCTTACTTCATTCCATGCCAGGTATGAAGCTAAACCAGGCAATCCATGAAGACTGTAGAAAATTTTAGAAAATCAAGGGTTCTTGTGATGCTGGAATATTGCCTTCTCTCAAGGAGTTGAGACTTCGCAGCCTGGAGCCTGGCAGGATGGGGACAAGTTGGATGAGGCTGAGCGGAGAGATCTGATGAGGGGACTTGAGGAGTGATCTCCTTTTACGTACTGCTTAAAGTAAACACGCCAAATAAGCAAGGAGGGCTAGAATTGGTAAGCAGGATTACAAATCAGGGACCTATATGGTCTTTTTAGACTCGTAAAAAGGGGCTTATAATTCAAGCTGTGATGGTCGAGTGGTTAAGGCGTTGGACTCGAAATCCAATGGGGTTTCCCTGCGCAGGTTCAAATCCTGCTCACAGCGTTTCTCAGTGCTTTTTCTACTCAAATTACAAAATGACTTTCTCAGTGTGGTTCTCAACTCTTCGTCTTATTACACAAACAAACTGAGGAGTAAGAAGGTAGCTTTCCGTCCCGTCCCGAGTACACTCTCAGTATTTTGGCTCTTCCATCCTCCTCCAAACTGGGCGGGCACCTGTGAATCCCTTGAGCGCGGGGGCGGGGCTTCCTTCAGCCCAACTATCTGCAGCTACCCCTCAGTACCCGGGAAGCCTGAGACTTAGTGAACGCACAAAACAGCTGCTTGTTTTGTATACATTCTGTTAAATCTAAAAGTAGCAGCAGGTCCCAAAGGCAAAGAGAAACAAGAAATTCTGTTTTAAAAAATCTGTAATAAAATTCCCCGCTCCGTTAATGGCGATGCAGGTAGCTTCCTTAAAGAGTTCTCTGGTATTTAAAACAAAACAAAACAAAACAAAACAGTCTAGTGAGAACCATGAAGGTCTAGGATCATAAATCTGTGTGTGTGTGTGTGTGTGTGTGAGCGCTCTTTAAAACATTGTACTATAGAAATGAAGAAACCGAGGCAAAGAGAAGATACACAACTTGGGCCAACGCAATAAATCTAACGAGGGAAGAGTACGGATAAAGGCTGTGGGCACCGTGACTGCACTCGGACCCAAAGTATTGTACTTCTCGCTCAAAGAACTGCCCTC